AGTATCTCTCGGTGCCATGATTTTTTCGGGATGATCAGATGTTGATAGAGCCAGAGTTGCTGGTGACCGACAAGGTGGGTTTCATGCACCAGTTTTAAGAGGTATCTAGTAAGGTCAACGAGATCTTTGCGTTGTTCCTCCTCTTTCATATTGTCCGTCAAATTTCTCCCGAGAAATTTGAATTGCCGACCATTTAGCGGCGGTACATCCTTGCCGGATATTGTAAGGCCGGGGTCGAAACAGGTGTACTTGTTGATTAGTTTCGCCGCGTAGGTCCTGCATTTATGCGGGGCAGCTTTCATTGGAGACCAGGACAAAAACTTGTCCACAACATCTAGTTTCTTTTGTGCGCCATGGGTTCTGTTACTAAAAACGGCTAAATCATCTGCGAAACCAGTGTTAGAAGCAGTGATATCCGTCTGCTTGAAATTGTATGAAAGTGCCTGTAGGGGTTTTGCCTGGAGGGCATCGAGGAGGACTTGGAAGGTAATATTGAACAGTACTGGGGACAGTGGGCATCCCTGAAACACACCGATACTGTACCGGAACGTCCGGGTCTGGGGCTTTCGTACGGAAGCAGTGAGATGTTCGTAGTAAGAAAATACAAGTCTTCTGATTTTCAGTGGGATTTTCAGTGGGATATGGTACCGATGCAATGCCGCTTGAATTAAATTGTGCTTTACTGATCCGAACGCGTTCTTTAGGTCTATCCACACAATGGCTATGGAGCGCTTGTTCCTCTTCGAGTCTTTCATGGCTTCGCTACACAAAGTAGCATGCTCCACACAGCCTGACATTCCCTGCAGGAAACCTTTCTGTGTCATGCCATCAAAATACTCATTCACCAACATATGGCGAGTTAGTATCTTGGACAGCATGGCAAAGAAGATCTTACCATCGCAGTTGGAGAGAGCGATTGGTCGGAACTTTGCTGGATCTGACACACTGTCACTTTTAGCAATTAGTGTAACGGAGGCGCACTGCCAAGATCGCGGGATGACACCAGTCTTCCAAACTGTTTCGAAGATGCTGAAAAGCAGGCATTTGCATCGTTTCCAGATTATGTACGGAATACCGTTTGAACCAGGAGCTGACTTGTTCCTGCATTTTCTTAGGGTATTTTGAAACAAGAAGAAGAAGAAGAAGAAGGAAAGCAATTCGCACCAATAAAAACTGGTGGGTAAAAAACCGTCTCGACTGTTTTTTAGGCAGTGACGGAGAAAGTAAAAGGAGAAAAGAAAAAGAAAAAGGAAGCGGATGCCACTGTGGGCCAATGCCTGGGGTTGAGCAAAAGCGGTGAAGGCTAAAAAGCTCTTCAGAGCGGGAGCAGGCCAGTGCTCAGCGTAGTGCAATATGGACGAGACTGTTGTAGTGAAGTTGTGGACGAGACTGTTGTAGTGAATTTGTGTTGTGGCGTCGTGCAGCTTAACAGCAGCTTGGTGCAGCGAAAGCATACAGCGAATGGCAGCGCGCAGTGTTGTGGCTTTGTGCAATAGTAGCTCTAAGCGGCGAAAGCATCTACTGATAGACTCGCTCCAGCGCGGCGCAGCACAAGCAAGTAGACTAGAAAAACGAAGAAAAAAACGAACGAAAGCTCGACTTGGTTGGCGAACACCCACCCCCGGCCCTTTAGAAGCCGGTGTGGCGAGTTAAAACCAAGATTTGAAGGGTACCCAACTATCCTCGCTGGGTGGCTGTCCGCCAACCAAGTGCCAACAAACTGCCTCTCGGGGACCTTTAAAACAGTGGCCAGTCGCGCCAAGCCTTCTCACGTCGCCTCAGCCAGATAACGTAGCTGGAATTTAGTGCTGCGTTTCTGCAGTTCCTTCTTAATTGGCGCTGTTTTTCCTTACAACCGCCCAATGCCCGTGCCAAACCGTCCAGGCTGCTGGAAATGGCTCCTCTAGCTCCCACCTCCGCTGTGAGGGCCTCGACTTCCCAGCCATTCTTCATACACTCCTGTTTGAGGTGGCGATACCGTGACAGCTTCTTCTCCCTGGACTGGATGATGCGGTCTTCGCTACACACCGTGAGTTCCAGCCAAAGAACCCTTCTCAATTTCTTCGAGAAGAGAACTATGTCTGGACGACACGTGGTAGGTGCAATAAAGTGTGGGAATACTAGCCTCTCGTCCAGATCTGAAAGAAGCTGCCAATCATGTGATCCTGACAAAAAACCATCGCTCAGACCTTTCCGCTGAGGTAACTGGCCATGGGGGATGTTTTGACCCGGTTTACAGAAGGTAATGTATGTACCATTAGTGGCGACTTTTGCTTTGCTGATACTACTTCTGTCATGAATTTACTGATCTGTTTCAGGACGTTGTCATGGCGCCACGTGTACCTTCCTTGATGGAGTGAGGAAGGGCAGGCGGTGAGAATGTGCCTCAGTGTTGATGTCCGCTGACAAAGAGGAGAAGAAGAAGAAGAAGAAGAAGAAGAAGAAGAAGAAGAAGAAGAAGAAGAAGAAGAAGAAGAAGAAGAAGAAGAAGAAGAAGAAGAAGAAGAAGAAGAAGAAGAAGAAGAAGAAGAAGAAGAAGAAGAAGAAGAAGAAGAAGAAGAAGAAGAAGAAGAAGAAGAAGAAGAAGAAGAAGAAGAAGAAGAAGAAGAAGAAGAAGAAGAAGAAGAAGAAGAAGAAGAAGAAGAAGAAGAAGAAGAAGAAGAAGAAGAAGAAGAAGACGAAGGAAAGTAATTCGCACCGTATCTCCGTATGTAAGCGTATGGCGTCTGTAGCATAAAGGCTGTTGCGCATTTCTGTTTTGATGAGATTAGATAGCAACGACAAAGCTAACTCGAAGAAGAAGTAGTCAACCTCTAGGTGTGCACCGGAGAGAAAGTTATTTATTTGCCGCTTCTTCTTTCACTAATAACTATATCCCAGGTGTGTACCTGAGAGAAGAGAAGAATAAAACTAACTCTTGTTGATTACACCGCGCCTACCACTCGGCTTCCTGTTACAACTGTTGATGTTAGTGGACATTATAGTGAACTTGTAGTTTCTTGGTCCTTTTTTTACTTTTTATCAATGCTTTTTTATCAATGCACCAGTAATTTGTCCGGCATCGCGAGCGCGAACAAACGTGTCCGTGATGAAAACTAGAGCGTCTTCCGTTGAATGTTGACGTCTAAAGCCAAACTGACAGGGAGGGTACAAATTCTCCTTGTCCAGAAATGAGGATAGTTGTCTATGGACAATTCGTTCTAACAGCTTCGACACAATTGGCAGGAGAGACACAGGGCGATAATTTCCCGGATCTTGAGGATTTCCAGCCTTGAATACCGGCGTCACATGTGCCAACTTCATGCCGTCCGGCACAGAACCAACAGCAAGAGATGCATTAAATATCAATGTTAAGGAGGGAGCTAGCAAATCAGCGCAGGACTTCAGAAGAAATGCGGGTATTCCATCACTGCCTGTCGCTTTGCTGGTGTCCAAGGAATCCAACAGTTTACGCACACAACCTATTGACACCGAACTGAATGATGTAAAACCCTTAGGTCCCACTGGGCCCTGTGGAAGACACAGTTCAGGTGCTCGTTGTTGATCACTGACAACATCAGCAAATACACACCCAATGTTGCTTGCAGAGCATTGGGAATGGATTGAACACGTTGTCTTCCGGATAACTCGTTCAAAACCTTCCACGTTTTCCTGGGATTACCTTGAACACTGGTGAACTTAGACTGAAAAAATTCGTCTTCAATTCACGGTTCATACGCGTCAAGATACGCCTGGCTTCTTTAAACGCATCGTAATCAGTCTGGCACTTAGATTGCAGCCATTTCCGATGAGCGTGGTTACGTCGTCGTATCAACTGTGAACAGGAACAAATGTTCATTGACCCATGGTGAATGCTGTCTTGGTCGGGAAGACGCGTGGCGCAATGGAGCATGAGCATCAAGAATGGGCACAACCTTAGTCAGCCACTGTTGCCACATGTCGTCGCAGGACCCACGAAGTTCACAGAGGTTGGCGCAAGAAATATCCATACGAAGTGATACCAAGTCCATTCTCTTGAAGTTTCGATAAAGTCGCTGAGAAGGCAATGCTGTCGGCACTGGTTTAACACAAATCTTGGTTGCAATAGCACAGTGGTCGCTGAACGGAACTGGACACACATCAGGCGGGGATATGACTTGAGCTGTACTAACTATGTAATGCTGGTAGAAGTTCAGATTAGCGGTGAAGCGAATTCCCAGATGTTTCAGCACATCGGTACCGTTGAGAGGAGCCCCATCTATTTGGTATGCTGCAGCTGCGGACGGCGAATGCATGTATGTGATCTACAGGTTACTGTGCACATGAATATGATTGTTTTGTTTTATCTGCCCCATTCTGGCGATGTTTGCATGACGCATGTAGCACCCTACTTCAGTCCTTTTTCGCTGTCATGCCCTCAACCCGCACTCGAGGAGGCCGAAGTAACTTGCTTGTGGTCCCACCTGCTAGCACTGCTCGTTCTGCTTTTGGAGCCATTTCGTCGTGAGTGTCGTCGCTCAGCAGCTTCAAAGCTGCCGTCGTACCGTATACCCGGCCCCGACCCCCCTGATATTTAGTAGCAGGAGTATTCTGGTTTGCAGTTAGTACCGTCTTAGCAGTACCTTATTAGGCGGGTTACAGAACTGTCATTAGTTGGCTTTTCTAGTTTTGACAACTCATAGCTCTTCATTGCATGTAGCACCCTACTTCAGTCCTTTTTCGCTGTCATGCCCTCAACCCGCACTCGAGGAGGCCGAAGTAACTTGCTTGTGGTCCCACCTGCTAGCACTGCTCGTTCTGCTTTTGGAGCCATTTCGTCGTGAGTATCGTCGCTCAGCAGCTTCAAAGCTGCCGTCGTACCGTATACCCGGCCCCGACCCCCTGATATTTACTAAGCAGGAGTATTCTGGTTTGCAGTTAGTACCGTCTTAGCAGTACCTTATTAGGCGGGTTACAGAACTGTCATTAGCTGGCTTTTCTAGTTTTGACAACTCATAGCTCTTCATTGCATGTAGCAGTCCGTGCGCCAAGCCCTTGAGTAGCCTGTTTTTTATTTGCAACCGCGGGAAAAATCGAGGTGCAAAAAGATGACGACGACACAATTGTTTTGTTGGTATTTTGCAACCTTATTTGGACCTGAACTGGCGTGTGCTGGAGGAATCCTTGTCCATTACTTGGTTTGCTGCTGAGGTATGTCCCTTTGTCCTCTATGGCACTTTAGCTGAGGTTCGTTGCGCCCAACTGTAGACCATGAAGACCTGTGTTTGCACTACATATTTTTTCGTCGTAATCGTACCATCAACTTGCTTGTCGTGCATGAGTGGATAGCATAATCGGACACTCTCGGCTTATGCTCTAAGCGAAAGGCAGATATATTTGGGTTTAGATTCCCAAAGCACATCCCAATCAGGCTATGCAAAATGGAGCGGCCCACAATTTCGTGAAGGTATGTCGAATTGTGTGGAATTTTGCACTAAAGTAATTGTGCTTGAACAAGGACGTTTTGGCTGCTTATTTTCCTTGGGCATCTCGACATTGCAAACTAGTCCCCTTGCTGTTGTGTCTTCGACATCTAAACGGAATTTCTATGTAAGTCGTGTGGTTGGGGTCCAGATTTTAATCAAAATCCAGCAGTACTCCTGGCTGCTAATCTAGTTTGCTAAAGTTCTGGCTGAAGGTAGTCTGTTGAACAGTTTCTTTTGTATGTACCATGGTAGGACGTTCATTACATTATAGATGGAGTTCATAGTCAAAGAAACTTTTTATGTAGTTTAGCACAACTGCACAGAAGTGCAGGGCCTGAAAGAAAAGCAAGAGCTGGAGACTCAGCGTCCGCAGCATATGCGAATGCATTGTGAGAGCATGTGTCTTGGAATTCAGCTGCATCACACACATATGCACACACACGCGCATGCGCGCGCACACACACACACCACACACACGCACGCGCGCACATCTGGCGCTGGTTGGGTGTTGCATACTGAACATTCTGTACTTGCAACCTTATCTTGATCATGTGTGATAGTTGTGTCACAGGTTTTTGCCATATTTTCTGGATTCTCTGTGCTTTCTGTAGATGGTCTTGTGCGCTCGTCATCAACAGCACTACACTACTGTAGGTCCAGTGGGCCAATCAGGCTGAACGGCATCATCCAGCTGTAATTGGGGTGTAGGTAAGTGTCTCTGCGTGCTCTAATGGTCGACTTGTGGCTTCTGCCTTCAATCATTGTTCTTGCACGGGACCTCAGCCTGCCTCGCATACCCTGTGGCTCACTCGTGTTGGCAGGCTGTGATGCACAGTGGAATCCTTGATGTGGCACTCAGTCTACATGTATGTTGTTTCACGCAACAATATTGCTACTGATGGGCCGCTTTGGTGTGATGCTCTGAATAGATGTACCATGAAAGCCTCTTCATTGGTCTCCGCAGTACATTCGCTCGCCTGGCTCGTTTTGTGGATATTATCCACTGTTGCAATGGAGAACTTTGCGTGAGGTATCTCACTGTTCATTCCGAGCTCTGATTTCTTATCAATGATGGTCTTTTGATATCGTTTGTAGGAGTCGACACCTGCTGTTGCGCCGAGAGCTAGTACTCGCATGAGCTCGCTGGAATTGCTATGTGCATCCACAAAGTCCGAAAGAACAAGCTGGAAAGGGTAAGTGCATGCTGGTGTGCTTGCATGCATCATGCATGATAGCACAAACAAGCACCTGATCCTCTTTGCACGGTGGTTGGATGCTTGACTTCTTTCTGACTTTGATTGGCCGTACACCATCAGCCAAATGTTTCCCCACAACTCACTGTCCACACTATCCACCATTGCGTCCAGCTTCATTTCCGACAGTGGAGTTAGAACGTTATGCTCTTTGTGTTTGAATTCTTGTGCTTGACTTTTGATTTGTGAGCGCATTGCAGCCGACAGCTCTGACACAAAGGATGATGGGCCACTGGGTTGGCTTGTGTGCTGTGTGTGCTGGGTTTTATTTTGTGCTCTGTGTTTCAGGGTCTGGGATCGTGCAACGGCGAGGGAATTGTATAAGCACAGAACTGTGTCACACCTGTACGGTACAGGAGCGTACCTCGTTTATTACTGGTACCATATGACCCATGGCTGAGATGAGCGCCAAGCTTCGAAATAAGGCTGGACAGTAGCCACCGGTTGTTGCAGTTGATGGATGGTAAAGAAGAGGTGAAGAAATCAGCAGCCGTTGCCAGAAGAAGAGAACGGTTCTCGAGGAATGCAAGACAGACGAATCTTGCTGTTGCCAGCAATGCGGACTCCTCGGGTGAGGTGCACTGGTGCATTTCGTCTGTTCTACTCTGCATCAGGCTCTCCAGCTTGAAGTCAGTAGTCTGACTGTCCACCATATCCAGTTGGCCTTTATAACAGGCTAGGCAAAAAGCACTATCCGCGGTGACCGTAAGACCACGCTCAGCGTGCAGCTGACGTTGAACAGCTCCGACGTTCGGACATTTAAGCTTAATTAACACCCCTTATTTGTGCGCTGCACATGGTGCATGTGGGCCTGTTGCTGTCATGGAGCTGCATGTTATGCCGGTTGCAGAGACCCGCTGGCTGATCGTTTAAGTTTACTTTCACGTTAAGCTTCTCGGCCAGCTCTACTGCTTGTAATGAAACTGTGACATGCCGTGGCAAGTCACAACCATCTCTGAGCAGTCTGGTGTTGTTGCGAGTACGGGTACAGGTGTTGGTGGTGCTGCTGCTGCTGCCGCAAGTGCAGGCATTGCTTCTGTAGGCTGCACGTTGTCGGTGACAGGCATTGGCTCTGCTGAATGATTTATGAGCCTTTTCATGCATTTCTTGCAGATACATGCATTTCGTGGTATTGTAGGATGATGTGCATATTCCCAGCATTGCGTGGTCTCGGGGTGGGCATATCTGCCATCAAGGGGAACATCTTGGCAGGCTACACATGGTCCGCATTGCCTGTCAGGATGCAATTTCGAGCCCTGGCTTTGGCGGCCCATTTGGACTTGGTCACAGTGCGGACACTCGTGGTTTCTTCCTGGCCTATAGAAACACCATCTGTCCGCCCATTCGCGTAGTTTTATCAGAGATAGAGCCTTGCAAAATAAGACGGCCCACAATCTCCTGCGACGTATCTACGAAATTCGAAATTGAGAAGAGAAACAAAAAGGCACCGCAACGACGTGAGATGTCGAATATCGTGGTGCACTTTCGAAAAATGTGCTCATCGCTCACCCTTCTAACACGATAACGGCGCAAAAGCAATCGATATAGGAGGATAAGCCTGTATTCTCAAGGTAACCAATTGTCGAAAATTGAGAAGAATTCGGTATGTCACTAAATTCGTCTTCAAATTTCCCGCGGTTGCAAATAAAAGTGCAACTTTTAGACGACTTTTTTGAACTTGGCGCACGGACTGGTAGCACCCTACTTCAGTCCTTTTTCGCTGTCATGCCCTCAACCCGCACTCGAGGAGGCCGAAGTAACTTGCTTGTGGTCCCACCTGCTAGCACTGCTCGTTCTGCTTTTGGAGCCATTTCGTCGTGAGTATCGTCGCTCAGCAGCTTCAAAGCTGCCGTCGTACCGTATACCAGTCCTGGAAATCGCCTAGTTAGGACAATGTGTATGTACGGTGCCCACGTGATGAAAACATTACGTCAGAAGGAGAAATATAACGCCAAGGCGGAGCTGGACCCTGTCTCACAGCACGTGGTGGTCATAACAAAAGGGAAAATGAACTTTTTTTCAAAAAATCTCCTTTCCTTTCCTTTCGTCCAGTCTTTGTTTTACTTCCGTTTTTGTACAATGTCACTCAACTCCTCATCCCCGTCGACTCGTAAGAGAAAAATAACAGGTTATATCGCCGACAAAGTGAAGCGCCTGAGCTGCCTCAGCAAACGTAAAAATGGCTTGATTCGAGCGGTAAGTTTCCTCTATCCTCTACCTTGTTGTACATTGCGAATTTTCACCTGATATAAAGTTTCTTGTGTTTGCATCTTTGTGTTGACGCAGGGCATGGAGCTTCATGAAGCTACACACGCCAAGGTGCTAGTTCTGGTGATCTCGCCATCAGGTGTTGAGCACCTTTATAGCAGCAGTCCGGTAGACGACTTCTTCCCAGCCCTTAAAAAATCGAATTCCCCACCTCCTGCCCCTACAACTCCCACCCCACCAACTCCCACCTCACCAACTCCCACCTCACCAACTCCCACCTCACCAACTCCCACCTCACCAACTCCCACCTTACCATGCACTACGCCTAGCCTTACTCCAGTCGCATGCATAGCACGCCCAAACTCTTACCAGTAAAAATTGATTCACCATCATCATGATCATGTACAATATATTATTACGAGTTGATTCACCATGTACATATTAATATCTATTATTCTGATTTTGTTCTAGAATGTAGCATGTGAGAATACCATTATGCCATATCATCAAAGGCAAAAATTTGGAGTTGAAACGAGGGATTCTAAGTAAAAAAACATAGTTTATCATTGTTGATGAAGATAACAAACGATAATAAACGAAGGTGCTCATAAGTTATGTCAAAATCACCGGCATTGCAAGAAGCAAGTGTTGAAAAAGTCTATACACTGATGGCGTTGTGTCTGAGTAGAAAACAATCTTCATCTTTCGCGTTGAGTCGGTGTGGACTCGCAACTTACAGGAAGAACTGGTATCTGCGCATGGAGTAGATAAGAACACATGCATACAACACTGGTGTAGATGCCTGATGCAAACATGACAACACGATTCGCAACACCACCCTTCATCAGCCAAAACATTCTCATCATGTGAGTGATTTATCATCCTAGAAGGTAGGTGTATTTAAAAGAACTGAAATAAATATCCTATGAATCACTGACATCAGGATCAGAACATAAAATAAATTAGAGATATGTTTAGGGTAGTTTTCAGATGCAGGTTTGCACTTGGGTTTTAAAAATCAACAATATTAAATTTACATTCAGCAGTGCTTTCCAAGACACTTACCAGTTCATACTGGTCCACAAACTTACAGTATCCAAGGCCACTTACCTCATCCACATGCACCTAAATTGATCATAAATCAATAGACCAATAATTATTGATCAACAGATACACATATAAAAAATTACAACAGAAGAGGCTGTACTCACCGGACAGGCGTCAGCAACATAGCCAAACCAATCACCACCAGGAAGACAATCTAGTTGTCCTCGTCCGACGAGCACGCATGGGCACAGCTGACAGACACCAAACTCCGCATTTCCCGGACGATGGACAGGACATCGGTTTGCAAGGTCGCCTTGGCCATGCTGTCATTGAGGCCGCCCGCCAATGACTGCTCGGGTAGAGACTGCAGCATCCGCTGGAATTCTGCCTTGAGAGACGAGACAGAGCGGCGTGCATCTCCAGACGACTTCTCCCTTTCTTCAACGGTCACAAAGTGCATTGCTGCTGTCGCACGAGCTGTCGTGGATTTGCCGTCTGCAAAGGTGCAGCACATCTTCCGCCGGCGCCGTTTCCCCTCAGCGGTGAGTTCCATAGCAGCACTGTCCATTACAAACTCAGTAGACATGGACTCCAGTGGACGCTGGAAGGCCAAGCAGTCATCAGGGCACAAGAACTGGCGCACACGGGATCGCCAGACCACGAGCTCCTTGGTGTAAGCTGGCCGTGGCTTGGGGGCTGATTTGGGGTCAGTCAACCCCAATGTACAAAACACCTTGCCGCGCAGCTTCACTAACTGGTTGTAGTTGCGGACTACACGGCGCCACATGTTGGAGTCCTTCTCCCCCGAGATCCAGGCCTTAATGTTGGCATTTAGCTCTTCCACAATAGCGTCCAGGGCTTGGTGGGAGTCGCCTCTGCCCGATCGTGACAAGAACATATGCTTGTCAAGTTCACATCTCAGATCTTCAGGCATGGCAAGTCGCTGCTGCTCCTCAAACATGTCAATGAGTTGGTAGGTGGTGTGGTTACGTGCATACAGCAGCGGGCTGATGGTCCTGCGTGCTGCCAGGAACAAAGGTACATCGCAGTGGCGTGCACCACGGCGGAGCATAAACAGGGTGAAGCAGTATGTCGTCACCAGTTCCAAGAGCCAAGAGAACACCTTGTTCTTCTCGAACTTCTTGGCCCACTCAAAGAAACCTTCTGCAGTGGGGGCACAATCACTTGCACACGACACAACATAGGGGCGTAGCAGCTCATCCATGCATCCATCTGTGAAGCGACTAAGTTCATCATAAGTGCGGTGGTGGTCCTTGGCCTTGTGGGCCCAGTCTAGCTGACGCGGCGAATTGTAGCCTTGACTGAAACAAAACTCTTTGTACACAAAAGGCCAAAGAGTCTTGACAATGGCCTGGATCAAGTTCATCTCCCAGTGAAGGCCTCCACTTTGCGACACAACCCAGTCGAACTCACCTGCAGGGATGCTACCCGGCACATTCAAATCTCCACTCGCTACCCTGCCCTGTACATGAGTGCTTACACGGCTACGCAATGATGCTAGGCTGCCAGACACATTCAAAGAGTGCTGCCTACAGTAGCCCACCAACAACTCCTTGCTCATGCTACCTACATCTAAAATGCCCGCGGCATGGTACGCTGCTTTCCTGGCCTCGTCTCTACTTTGAGCAATGACAGTACGCATGAGTGAATACGGAAGGCCATCACAGACAATGGTAAGCCACTCTCTACAGCCCTGCTCACCAACACATTGCTTCACACCTGCACTTGTCCCAATTTCCCTCAGGAGAACACGCACTGCCTCATGTGAATTGGGGTTCACAAAGACAGGCTCGAGCAATCCTACATTTGCCGGAGGGACAGGAGGAGAATCTAACTGCTCTGAGCGTGTTGCCCTAACCCGCCCTACACTCACCCCACCACTGTCTGCTACATTGCGATACACAAAGTGCGATCCTGCTCCCACTGCCGGGGAAGACGGAAGACGGAGAACTTCAGTGGACACTCGAGAAAGACCGGCTGCTTCTGCGATAGCAGCCCTGATGTTTGTGACAGTACACTCCGAATTGCTACATTTTACTTTTCTTTTCTCGTACTGCTTTTGACACCCAGGGCAAACTATGAAAGATCTGCTAGCTTCCTCCTCCTGTCGGAATCTTACTACTGGGTCACAACCATTGTTGTGCTCCATTGCCAGACCAGCTATTCTATTTCCAACATAGCTGGCCAAATAGCTGTGCATTGGCGATGCTGGAGAGGTCGGAGCAGGGCCACGGAGTGCTTCTAAAAGCTGTTCCTCACTCGGAAAGGACCAGTGCCGCATGTGATAGTTTTCTACGGATTGCAGGTCCTGTGCCGAATGTAACGCGTAAACCACATTCGTCAAAATCTCGTAAGTTGACCGATTCGCACCCCGTGATAAATACGAGCGCATTTGCCGCTGCTCATTGTCAAATCCCACTGTAACAAAGCCCCTTGGCACTTTAACAGGCTCACCTCCTAGATTGCCAAGCCAATCTTTCAGCAGGGCATAGCTACTCCCTGGACCCAAGTGGCCAATCATGTCCACAGCAGTTTTACTTTGCGTGATAGCGTACACGACTGCCTGAAACACCATGTGGAATTGGGAGCAATAGTTCAGGTTCCGAGCAGCGTAAACCGATTCGATAGCTTCCTGTTGGCGCATGCTACGTTTTGCTGCCCCTACGGACGACTGCACTGAAAGTGGCGCCGTCATGCCACACACAAAAGCCTCTACTACGGGATTATAGGAGCGGGAAGTGATGCGCCCAGCGGGGATGCCCAGCAATGACTCCACTTTCCTACTCTCCTTTGAGTGGCTAATGGCGTCTAGAGTTTCCGCAAACAGAAACTTGTTCTCTATCTTACATATCTCATTAACTACCTTTACCCTA